CGGTCAATTGCCAATTCAAAAAGAGGTCCTCTTAAGAATCGTTTTATACGTTATCACAGTCTTTAGTTACTATTTCATTCATTATCTGAATATGTTTTCTTTTGTTGTGCATAGGGTGAAGAAGTGGACTACAGAGGTGTACTTCACCGTGATGGTTCTGTTCTCATGACTGTTTCCCTGGATCAATTGAAGGTGAAATTCTCCATCAGATATGTTATTCTGTGTTTGTTTGTTTGTTTTTTTTTTTAATAGTGTCTTTGTGTATATTTTAGGAGTATGTATATGCTCATTAGTTTTAGTTGTACACTGTAATAATTGTTCTGTTACAAGTCTATGTTTAATCTATAAAAGTGCTTATTTGGGTCACTCTTGACAATTAGTATATGCCATTTATCAGGTATCTCTAGTATTGTTGGACTTTGTCCTTTGTAATACTACAATCATGTAGCTGCGCTGTAGTTTTATTTATATTCCATGATTATTTTTGTTTGGTAGGATAATTGTGTCATTTTTTCTCATAAACTTATGCACTCATCTTTTAAACTGTAAGCATTTCATTAAATCCTTTGTGATGTGAAAAATGTGGGTTCTAAGGCCTTATCTGTATACTTGTAATTATTGCTTCGAAATGTGGTTTGATTGTCCCAGATACTAAATTCCAGAACCTTTTATAAGTTCATTGAGTTAGAACTTAACAAACATTTCGTCAGCTACTTTGAATCCTTAGTTCTAATCATGTTCATTGTATTTAATTTCAGACGCCAGAACTCCTTTACAAGTCCCTAGCTGCAAAGCTTATTGTTGGCATGCCCTTCAAGGTAAATTAGAACTGAAATTTGAAATTTAATTACTCAGGCCAAAAATGATTGCTCTACTAATTGCCTGATAACTTTTATAATTCCTATGGTAGTTTCCTGACCATATGTCTGTCAATTTAGGATCTGGCCACTGTAGATTCCATTTTACTGAGGCAGCTTCCCCCAGTAGATGATGCTGATGCAGTAAGCAGTCACCTTTTTGGCTCTTTATTTTTTTCTTTAGTTTGTTAATTCGATCAGCTCAAGAAAGCGTCAATTTACAACAAGTTTTTTTAATGCAAATCAGTGACTTGGTCTGCTTTGCCTTTTATGATTAGCGGCTAGCCCTCAAGAGATTGATTGATATAAGTATGGGGATTATAACCCCTTTGTCTGAGCAACTTACGAAGCCCCTGCCTAATGCAATTGTCCTGGTGAACCTCAAGGAGTTATCAACTGGTGCACACAAGCTTTTACCTGAAGGTGGTTTTTTTTTTCTCCCACCTCATCCCCCCACCCTTCTGTTCTTATTTCTTTGTATATGCTGATTTTCATGAATTGGAGTATTCCATTTAACTGCAAGATTGTTTATTTTCCAGGAACGCGCTTGGTTGTGTCTTTGCGGGGCGATGAACCTTATGAAGAATTGGAGATTCTTAAAGACATAGATGCTACAATGATTCTGCATGAACTGCCTTTCAGTGAAGAGAAAGTCAGCAGAATCCATGCAGCTCGAAGGTATCTTCTTGTTCGTGAGCTACATTATTATCTAAAGAAAACTTGACTGACCTTTCTAAAAACAAAATAGTATTTAGCAAATCTATCATTTATGAAGTCTGATCAGCAGAGCTTGTGTAATAAAGAGTGAGACAATGCAAAAGGCAATCACAAAGACAAGTAAACTGCCGTAGGATTAATAGAGAAGAAAGATACAGTAGAGTATAATCGGAGAGAGGAAAATCTGTTCGCAAATGAGGAGGAAGAGAGAGACGGTACAAAATCTGGCTTCTATTGAAAAAGCCTTATTGATGCTTTGGCTTTCATAGTTAACTCTCTTTTTCTAGTAGATAAAAAAATTACATGATTCATAGCTGCTATCTATACGTGAAAGAGTGAAAGGGTATTAATTCGGCTATGTGATCTGAAATGTATGTATAGCAGGCTAGCTTCTTTGTTTTTTGGCGAAAGAAAATGGAAAAAAGTTTTAAGGCGTCAATTATGCAAAATTTTAAATTAAGGATTTTACTTCTCATTGCTGCATTTAAGTTGGTTGTTGTTCTTGTGCCAGAAATCCGGAATGTCAGTGTGAAATTTGTTTGGGCCATAATCCTAAGTTGAAATCTTGCAAATGTTAACTGTGACATACGTTGTTGGTGGGTAACTGAGTACAAACTCTTCTGTATTTTCAATACTGTAGACAAGTCATTGGTGGGTGATTATTTAATAGTTAATTTTATAGGTGTGACCCTGGGACATAGTTTGGTTTGTTTGAATTTTACCTGATATTCAAGAGTCAATATCTTGTATCTTGTTATGTTTCAGTTACCAATAACTATTATCCCTTGCACATAGTAACTATATGAGGATGTGATTCTTGAAATATGTGAAGTCCTAATATAATCCCTATGACTTTGTCATGATTATTTATTGGTTGAACGGTGTGGCTATGGTGTTATGAATGTCTCGTAATGAACTGTATGGAGGCTATGGACTCCTTTCTTAGCGGTATATCTCTATCTTAGCTACAAATTGATCAATCACTTAGTTAAATTTGACATGTGTGCGCATTTCAGAATGAACTCAATTGGTTCAAATTTTAACTGATGCAGTCATGTATTACAAATCAGGCTTTACTGTATTCCTTTTGCTTTACTTCTCTGGCATCATGGGTCACAAGATTAAATGGGCTAAGTTGCTACAATTTGGTACTACAATTTGCTAGTTGTATATTGTTTCATATACTGAGTAATATTATGCTTCGATTCTTTATTCCAGCTCCAGCATTTATGCTAGATATGTGACAGTCTAGATGGGTTTTATAACTTGAACACTTCCTTTTTGGCCATCTGTTGGAATATTGGTACTTTAAAGAGTCATTAAATCATAAGCTCTTATCTTTGGATTCTAATGAATGTGTCATCATGTTTGTAAGGTAAGAATTTATCAGTGTAGACTCATTGGTCCATTGCCACATATGAAACTCATATCTGAGTTTGAGCTTCATATCTAATGCCACTCTTTTCCTACTGTAACCTTTGTTGCCCTCTTTCCACTCTCATTTCACTATTAGAGATCTGGGTTCATCATTTTAGATGTTCACATCATTGCAGGCTATTTGAGTACCTATCAGATAATTCTTTGAACTTCCCTGTAATACACTGCATCCAGTTCCCCTCTGGGATTCACAGGTATTTCATAATACAATTTCTAATTTGAAAGCACCATTACAAGATTCCTCTTCTCATGTTTTCTCTATTGTCTAATTTTATGTTTTCTATCAGGGATGATCTAGTCATTCATGCTGGTACCTATGCTGGATGTCTTCTCGTAGATGGGTTAGGAGACGGTGTACTCTTGGAAGCTCCTGGCCAAGACGTTGAATTTCTGAGAAACACATCTTTTAACTTGCTTCAAGGTTGCAGAATGAGAAATACCAAAACGGTAAAGTTTATGCTCTTTTGCTTTAGTACTTTTTAGTTAGTTTCCATAGTTTGTAGAAAATTGAAGGCAATTTATGTTTTTGTTCCTTGGTCCAGGAATATGTGTCTTGCCCATCCTGTGGGAGGACACTTTTCGACCTCCAAGAAATAAGCGCACAAATAAGGGAGAAGACATCGCACTTACCTGGTGTTTCTGTAATTTTCTAAAACTCATCATCGAATGATGCTTGTACGACTATCAAAATAAAAAAGATTAAGCAGTCAAAATTTATTTTTTGAGCGATCTGGTTTGTGCAGATTGCAATCATGGGTTGCATTGTGAATGGTCCTGGGGAAATGGCTGATGCAGACTTTGGATATGTTGGTGGTTCTCCTGGAAAAATTGACCTCTATGTTGGCAAGGTATGGCAATGGTTGAGACTTGAGTTATTTAGTTACAGAGTACTTCATATAATTCCTCTGTGGAATCCTTCTCAGTGAGGTTGCACAGTGTTACATCTCTTTTTACCGGCATCTCGAAAATCCTTCTTGATGGAACATACTAACAAACTTTATATACAGTTCTTACTCTTGTTGGTCCTGCTTATGGCCCAGGTTTGGGTTAGATGTATGTGGCCTTGGACCTAGAATTTCCAGCATCCTCTTGTCATTTTGTCACTGAAATGTAGCTTTTGTTTTCAATGAATAATAAAAAAATTTCTTATGTTCAAATGCATACAATTCCCAATTAAGCCCCTAGTCATGTTATGAACAAAAGCCTCTAAGTAGTTGCATGGGTCAGAATTGTCAGTTTCTGTGTTTTCAACCCTAGCCTGGCCCCGTTGTGGGAGTCCTTTGCTTGGGGTTTGTTTACATATTACTCCTATAGTTCGAGTAGCCAGACCTTGTATGAGCTATGAAGTAATTTATCACATGCAATATATAAGAGGCCCTCCAATGAACATGGAAAAATAATCATCTGAACTGAGACCAATTTAACTGCTTGATAATTTAACAAAGGGGGACTGAACAAAAGATTGCAAGGTGTAAACGATAAAAACGTTTAGAAGTGGATAGTTGCTGCTTCAGAGGTTAAAGCTATGCTGCATCTCTTTTTTCTATTCTGTCTTCTGTTTCTTCTACTTGTTCACATTTATGATATTGTTGTGGCTCTTCCCTATACATATGTTACTCTATACTATTCTTCAAAAAGCTTGCTGTATAAATTTTCTGCTGGCTTGCACATTATTACATAACAATTAAATTGAGTAAATAATTAGTTTATAACTCTGCAAAACAATTCCCATTTCTTGCAGACGGTAGTGAAACGAGGAATAGCAATGGAGCAGGCTACAGATGCTTTAATCAATCTAATTAAAGAGCATGGTCGTTGGGTGGATCCTCCAGTGGAAGAGTAGACAAACAATTATTGAGGATTTTTTATAGGATTTAGAATCATGCAAAAAGAAAGCAATTTTCAGAGTCCCATCCATATTGTAGATTAACTTATAAGAATATTTGCCTGTGTCATTTTTGGGGGGCATATTACAAAGTATAAGGAAAATGTCAAAATTGTTCTTGCTGTACAGGCTCTTATATATGAATGTAATAATTTAAATAATACACAGTTGCATTACATAAATTTGTAGTCTATATATTTGTATATATGTATCTAATTATTGGTAATTTGGTACGTAAAACTAATTGTGAAACTATTCTATAATCATAAGAGATTGGAAAATTGAGAATCATGGACAACCATCCTTTAAATTGGTGTCAAAGGAAGCCTACACTGTGAATCTCTTCTTCAGTATGTTAATTGTGAAACTATATATGCAACATAAAAACCACTTGATGAATGCACTATATGATCATGAGAGGATATCGGAAGATTGAGCCTCAAGGGCAACCTTGATGAATACATCCTCCAAAGTGGTGTCTGCAAGACCCCATGCTTGGACTGTGAATCTCTTCTTCAGGTTCTCAACTGCCTTGAAAACATCAGAAATCCGAATTTCATGTTTGGGGATCTCAAACTTCTGGGTTCCTGATATGTGGTATATCTTTTGAGCATTTTGAGAGAGGCCTCTCACCATTGTTTCCACTTCTGCATCATGCTCTGCAGAGGTTGTCATGGTGAACACAAAGGACCCTCCATATCTTCCTTTCAGCTGCCATTTTACAAAAACAACACACTAGTTATGTATCAGAGAGAAAAAATTGTTGTAAGAAACCCTGATGATGAAAATGTCAATAAATGAATCTCATAATAACAAGGTCCAGCCCGAGAAGGTAACTATGTCCTGTGACTGATGTACCACAAATCAGAGGAAACTAACTACGTCCTGTGACTGATGTACCACCAATTAGGGTTAACTATGTTCTGTGACTGAACTCACTGAAGTTTATACTCAAGCCTCGAGCCTGATGGATCTTGTTGTGGGACTGGAGGGCACATTTGTTGTTTGAAAAATGTAGTGCAATCTGCTCCAAACTTGTCTCACTTATGAAGTCACCAAGACTTCAGAAGTTCAGATCTATTACGTGAAGCTGCTAAAATCCATTCAGCACAAAGGAAATTATGTAAAAGACTTATTCTTAGAATTATGAATTCAGTGCTGAATTGTGGAGGGCCATGCCTTTGTACTAAAACCTTAAATAATATTTGTATGACAATAATAAACAATGAAAGCTAAACTAGAAAGAAATATATGAAAAACCTTTAATTGATTAGTGATCAGAAAAACATAATTTTGAAATTTAGTTTCTTTAAAGCAACCAACACCCCGGGTGTGAGATATGCTGGTGTTGGACCATAAGGTGTTTGCGGAAATTCTGGGTTAGGCATGAGGTTTATAGTACTGGGCTCATAACCTTTATAACGACGTTTACTTGTCATATGCAGACCTTCTGACACAGCTACACTAGTCAAATGTGTGGGTCACTTGCTCCACACACACGTTGAAAACAAGGCCTCTCCATTTGCTTGGATACATGATGATGTGCTCTTTGTGTCTAAATGAGTTGAAAGAACAAAGACAGAAGCATACTTTATAGAGTAATATTATTGCTTTGAAGGAACGCCTTGCAGGTGCTAAAGCTTTTTGTAGAGCAGCGCACAATATGTACTTTGCTTTGTGGATGGCTAAAGGAGTTAACATGTGACAAGTTGCTATAAATATTAGGCCATTTGGAGAAATTCCCACCACTATCCTGTCCTACAGCACTATTATTTCTAGTTCAACAGATTTCGGCTCCATAACTAAGCACAGGGAAAAATTAAGTACTTTTCTGGACTTCATTTAAAATCCTCTAAATCAGGGTACAACGGCGATATTGGCTCTAAATAAAGGTACTACGATAATTTTGGCATTAATAAGTTATTGACATCAGAAGTAGAGATTTACCTGCTTAGGGCCCCCAATACATTGCAAGCTGCCATCAACAAAAATGCCAATCCGATCACACAGAACTTCTGCCTCTTCCATAGAATGTGCTAAAAGAAGAGAAAAAACAGAGAATATTAGAGATCATATTCAGAAGATTAACCATTATGGTCCAGATATATTAAAAAGCATACTCAAAAAAACCAAACACTAGGTTAAAAACAAAAATATAGGATGTGTGTTACTCGTCTAGTACATACACGATAGATGTATATAAGAGTTTGAACAACCAGCAAAAACTTAGTAGGAGCTTTCTTGCATACATAACTGCAGAGAGAGAGAGAGAGAGAGAGAGAGAGTACTTGTAAGAATAATTGCTCTATCTTGTTTTGCTTGCTTCACAACATTCCACAGATTATTTCTTGAAGCAGGGTCTAATCCAGTACTTGGTTCATCCATGTAAACAACCTTTAATAAGTAACAGTATCATTTAGACCACCTCAAGTCATAAGAGTATTAAGAGGTACAAGAAACAGAGTCATGGGAACAAAAAAACTAACCTTAGGGTCACCGATCAAGGAAATAGCAACACTAAGCCTCCTTTTCATTCCTCCACTATATTTTCCCGCGAACTTGTCAGCAACACCGCCATGATATAAGTTGACACTTTTTAAAGATTCTTCAACTGCCTGCAGTAACATAATCACATCAACACGAAGAAATTACATTCAAGAGGGAAGCTTTGCTAGTCTCCCCATACCCACCTTATAATTTTAGACCCACCTAAGAGTTCTATACTGACCAAATATGAAGGGGATGGATACATAATTACATATCCACCTTAGTAGGTATTAACAACCACTCTTACCACCCAAGTGGATGTCAACTACATATCCAACATCCATACCTACCCAAGCAGGTATAAACCTAAATTTACAACCGCTCTAGGCTCTACCACCCGAATGGATATCCACGCTTATGCTCACATATTATCTGCCTATTACCCATCCAAATTCAACTGAGGAGTAAATAATTTTTGAAAAATTATACAGTATATAATAGTTGTGGATACATGGTGGGGTTCAAGCAGGCAAGTAGATGTGGGGCGGGGTGGGAAGATATGGGACGGGTAGAAATTTTTAATTTATCACTTATTACCCGTGGCGGATATGAACTTTTGATATTCATACAGCCATACCCGCCCCCTTACCAACCAAAGTCAAACCATACCCGCTCTAATTGGGGTGGGTATGATGCAGAATCCATAAAATTGTACCAACTTGCCATCCATACTTGCAATGACACTAAAATTTCAACTAGCAGTTCCACACACAAAACATAATCTGTAACAATGATGTTGCTTTGATAGAACAAATGATGGGCTTGCTTGCATTTCTCACATAACACTCCAAGTCCCACATTGGCGAGAAAAATGATTGATTTAACCATATCTGGCCGTCCTAGTAAAGCAACAAGGTCTTCTATTTTAGGATTATAGCTGTTTCTTTTTTTTCCTATGGCCCTAGGGCTAACTAGAAAAACACCAATCCCACCAAAGTGTTTATTTTGTAAAAGTTGTTAATCTAACCTCTTGAGTCTAGGATAACATATTAACAAGCTCAATCACAACAAAAACACACACACACACACACACACACACACACACACACACACACAAAGAGAATACTAAGATAATTGATATGGGATGTATTTCAGGATGCGACTCTTCTATCCTTTCAGATGTTTCATCAAGAATGCATTCGTATTCTTAATCAAGAAACATAGTATTCAAGTCTTTTGACCACCTAGATTCTTTTCATAAAAGTTTTGCCAAAAACCAACATGTCTACAAGTAATACATTGACCTGCATTGCTGCCAAAAAAACTGACCTGCATTAAGGCAGAACCTTTCAGGTTCTTAAGGCGGCCATAAAATATCAGGTGCTCTCTTCCAGTTAATGTCTCCCAGAGTAAGCTAAATTCAGAAGAGTGAAAAGGCATAATCCATATCTGTAAACATTTGGAATACAATTGAAAAAAATACATATTTAACAAGGATTAAAGACCAAAAACATACTCATGCTGGGGGCAAACACCCATGCTGGTATATATTTCATTCATTTGATAACGAATGTCTGAACCCTCAACATATGCTGCACCAGATGTCGGCTTTGTGAGTCCAATCATCTAAAGAAATAGAAAACGGACATTAACAATCATTTATTCCATTCTGTAAACAATCTGTCCATAATAAATCTCAGGTCCTTTATTATTATATATTTATGCTTAATATATTTTGTTATTCCCAAAATAAACCTCATGTCCTTTAGTATCGAAATTTGCTGGACACAAGAGCAAACAATGATAATTGAAATAAAGAATAGGCATGACATATGCCCTTAATAGTGCAGTGTTTTCGGGGTTTTTTTGGTGGGTGGGGGAGGAGGGGGTTTGGAGGGTGGGGGGAGGGTGCTATAAGAAAAGCAGAGACTACAAAGATTCAATCTTATCAGACATAGGTTTTAAAAAGGGATACATAAATAAGAAGTCATTTACATATGTTTCATAAACACAGTGCAATGTTCTCACCATGCTGATGAAGGAGGTTTTCCCAGCTCCATTTGGGCCAAGCATCCCAAAGCATTCACCACGTGGCACAGCAAGAGACATTCCTTTGACTGCGAGCTTTGGAGGATTTCCATCCCTTTCAGGATAGATCTTTCTCAGGTTGTTGCAAATTATGGAAATGTTAGAACTTTCTTCTGACAACAATTGCTCCACCCTCTCCCTCTGTTTGGGAAAGAAAAAATCATGAGCAGAAGTACACATTTAAAAGATCGCAACTAAAGACATCTGTTGATTATTTTCTATTTCTTATTCATCTGTTAGTAACTAAGTAAAGCACATAACACATGCTAGGTGCCTTATACTGTAGTTGCATTCATACTTCAGTATATCTACGAACTCCTTTAATAATAAAGGCCCGTTATTGACAATCTGCATTCGAGTGCTTCAGCAAACTGACATCCAAAATGTGTAAAACTAGACAGGGTCATTCAGCACCTAGGAGAAACATGAACTTAAAGCTTAAAGAAGAGCTGCTAGACGACCAAAACAATGAAATTGGAATTTACATAGCATTGTCATCTTTTTAGTTTCTTTTTAAAGGGGAAGAAAACATAACACCCTAATATTTTTCTATATTTTAACTAATAACCACCCTAAAAGAGACTCAAAAAATGAAGCCGTAAAATAACTAAACTCAAAAGCCAGTATGAAAATTTTTCCCCAAGTTTCAAAACTGTACATATAATGGTAAGAAAGAGAAAGACCTCTTGCACAACATCAGCTTTCTCCATCTCAACAAAGACTTTTGATCCTTGCTTTTGTAAACTATGCTTCTGTGAAACAGAGTTGGACTTTCTCAACAAGCTGCAGAAGAAAAATAGAGGAGTTCTCTTCACACCACTTCCAGATGATACAACTTGATCAACATAGAATGCAATAGGGAGTACGACCAGCCACTCAATAAACATGATGATCATAACTTCTTTCATCCCGTTCATGCTGTCACCCAAATTTCCCCACCGCATACCATGGGTTCCCATATAATCCCCAAGAAAAGAATATTGTCCAAGCTCATATAAACCTCGAAATAGAGAGAATCCAGGGTATAGCTCCATAACAATAATCCATTCCCCTGTAATGAAAAGGACAATACAGAATAGCACAACACATATGAATATAAAGATTAAACAACCAAGAATCAATGCGTGTTCCCAAGTTTGATGAAGCAATATAAACCCACACATTATTTACATTAAACCCAATACGGCTTCTTATGCTGTTAAATGCAATCATACTCAATATTAATCATTAGGCAAAATCACACTCATTGACATGTTTATTTGTATCATTTAAATAGCACAAACTTGATCACTAAATACATTCAATGATATGAATTACTCACTAAAAACACACATTGACAAGAAATTGGTTACTGAAAACCCATTCAACCCCTTTGGTAACCAAGTTTATGTTCCTTTTATATAAAGACAAGTTCATGTCAGTGGTTGTAGACTTGTAGTTGGACCATAGTTCATGTGAATGAGGTCTTATCTTCAAGTGTGTATGGTGTACAATACATTACACATAAATCCACTTAATCCATCACATACATTATGTGTTAATCATAACAACCCCCTACATGTGCTATCAACTTCGTTCTAGAGGAAAAGGGGTTTGACAATGCTAAAGCATTATACCTTGACAGAATAATAGGAATGCACCTACTATTCAGAAAAATGACATATGGCCAAAATAAAGTTGTTGAATATAAACAGAAACAAATATTAACTTACTTGGAAATGAAGTATCTTGAATAAAATTTTGAAATAGAAATCCTCCTAACAGCCCAGTGCCAAACGTCAGTAAGTACCCAACAGCTATAAGAAATTGGTGACAAAACATTAGCACCACAAGAAGACAGTTCAGTAGACTAGTACATCAAAAGAAGGTAGCATCGAGCCCAGGGTCTAACCTCTAGCAGTTAAAACATTCGAGAACAAAGGGGCCACAAGAAATGCCATTGAAATCTGCAAGTTTATATAGATAAAATAGAATACAAATTGGATGCTGTAGTCATTTGTTGTGAAGATTTTTAGTCCTACAGAGAAAACAACACAGGGCATGAGGATCAAATATAGCACAACACTTGCCATGTAATAAATAAATAAATAAATCGAGTTAAGTTGTAATTACCAATAAGGGATCCAAATATCACAAAACATGTCATGTAGATTACAGATAAAGCTAGAAAGTAAGCATAGGAAATTGTCCAATATGGGCCATCACCAAGCCCATGCATTTTCATCATGATACGCAATCGCTGTTGTTTTTCATAAACCAGAGCAGTCAATACAACCTGCACCAATTTACAAAATTCTTAAATATCTTGATGTGAATTCTCAATAAGTTACTGCCAAACATCATGACATAGTTCTTATGTCAGACTGCATGCATAACACCTGGCACTACATGCAGTGTACAGAAACTTAGAATTTGCCATATTGATGGAAATATTTATCTACAAGTAAGCACGTGTGATAAGCCAAATAGTAAGAAAGACAAAGGGGCAAAAGGTAAGGGAATACGCGAAAAAAAAAAAAAAAAGCACGGGCATATGTGATTGAAATCATTTACTAAATAGGAAATGGAACAACTTTAAAATATGGAGGATGTAAAATTTAAGATTCATATTGATGGTCTTTTCCAAGCAACCTGAACACCCTTAGAAACACATTGCCTTCTAAACCTGAAGTTATACTATGCCGGCATCAAAACTGGGTTTTAAATCTCCAGAGAGAAATTAAATGAAAATAAAGAGAGCATTTTCATGCAAACATGATGACAAAGCTACTTTGCACTCTAGATCTGCTTTGTGTTATATAACATTGAATTTGGACTACAGGAGCGATTTAGTAGCAAAACTTTCACCAGACAAGTCAGATGCTGCTAGATGGTGCCCCAATAACATCTTTAATTTGCTTCCCCAATAAAATTTAAGATTCATATTGATGGTCTTTTCCAAGCAACCTGAACACCCTTAGAAACACATTGCCTTCTAAACCTGAAGTTATACTATGCCGGCATCAAAACTGGGTTTTAAATCTCCAGAGAGAAATTAAATGAAAATAAAGAGAGCATTTTCATGCAAACATGGTGACAAAGCTACTTTGCACTCTAGATCTGCTTTGTGTTATATAACATTGAATTTGGACTACAGGAGCGATTTATTAGCAAAACTTTCACCAGACAAGTCAGATGCTGCTAGATGGTGCCCCAATAACATCTTTAATTTGCTTCCCTCAATAAGATATAAGTTCTGATAGTCTCATTACATAATATCCAGTTCAATCTGCTAAAAACAGCTTATATCTTACATTAAAATGGACTTATCAGACATTCTAGACCAATAGTTAAGTATTTCAAACATTATAGAACTATGGCTGCAAGAAAGTAAAGAAACAAAATCCAAGAAGTACTCCAAGATGAATGCTTGTAAGCCAACACTAGCCAATTCCATGCATACTTACCGGAAATAATGCTATAATGACATATGTGAAAAACTGAGCACTGAGAAGAGATGAAATATCAATTCTTAGTCGGGTTCCAGGCTTTGGCATTTCTTTAACATACTCAAGAAGAATTTTTGTACTAGCACCGAACAGACTCTGTAGATAGGCATTAGACACCTGTAATATAAAAAATGAATGTATAAGTTTTACAGGAACAACATCCAAATTGCACATAAAAAGTATAGCTAATTGTAACTTTGAGATTAAGCTAAGTGCAGAGGCTGTTCCCACAATGAGTTCAACTCTTATCTTGGGTGACAATGATTAATTGTACCAAAGCATCAAGTCTCGAGTTACTCAACCCCATAAATAATATTATTATTTTTTTAGAAGGATGTATAGGTAATTAGTAGCTGGTATAAGAAATTGCCATTGCAACTGGTTTACTCTTCAGAATCAATGCTAAATTCATACATACATGCAAAAAACCTTACTCTTGGTTGAATAAAGTGGATTGTAATTATTAGAGAGTCAACATACTACATTAAACATTAGCTACACCCACAGTCTAGAAATAGTTGTCAAATTGTCCCGACTCCTCATTAATGAAGATATAATATGAGTCCCTATAAAATCCTTTTCATTGATTGCATTGTTTTCACAATCTTCCCATCATATAGTCTAAGAAGGTTACATTGGAAAATTCAGAAATATACAATGACTACTTCAAGAAAGGTAACAAATATTTTTGGATGTACCAAAATAGTACGAATGTGAGATTAGATTTTTCTCCACTTTAAAAAGTAAACAGAAACAAACAAGATTAAACAAAAATTAGGGGAAAAAAACCCCAATGTCAAACAGAACAGTTTGCCAAAGGTTAGCAGCAACCCTGAATATTTACATGAATAATTTTCTTGCCATAAAATTAACAACTAAAGTTTTATCCATATCAGATCCATAGAATTCCAACCCTGTATAAGATAGACTGGTAAAGGACTGGACAATTCAAGTCACTACAGTTGAGGGAGGACAAGCTCCAATGCATGGTCTTGGAGTTGGAAACAGGAAAACATAAGAGTGGACTATGATTGGCAAGACCATAATGAGCCAACATACTATAACATTAATAACAGATCCAACAAGTTCAACAAACAAAGAGAAAATCTCAATGACTATAGACTAAAATGACAAGCAAGCAACCGTGAATTCAGAGCAATTACCATATTTATTGAGCGTAGTACACGTAGCAATGCAATTCTAGAAAACCCAGTGTCATTCTTGTATGTTGTATTATACCATATGTTCACATTAAAGTTGTTCATGTCTGAGTTGAGGATATCATATGCTGTCATAAGAAACAAAACATAAAAATGTGCAAAAGAAGAATATCTTGAACAATTAAAGTTGTTAAAGACCTACCAGCGACAAATTCATTTATCTTCCTTTCTGGGTTACCTTTACGGTAACCCTTGTACAGCTCATGATTTATATCAGAAGAACTATTGCGCCATAGAGGAAGACCTGGAGCACATTCTACATCTGTATAAAAGACATCAATTATATATTCAGAATGGTGCACCATAATTCAGGAGGGAAGAGAGAAAAACTGTGTAAATAACATTAGGGAAGTAAGGATTGTACACTTATTATAAAGGGAATTCCTATTTTAGCGCATCTACCATTACCTGAAGGGTCTACATCATTTCAGTCATTAAGTCTTTGTCAGCGAGGGAATCACCAAAAGTACATGGCACCATGGATATTGACAAGTTCAAGATAATCTAATATCGCTTACCATGTCATCCAGAAAAGTATTTTACAAAACCTTGTCACAAATAAATTTCATAATCCTACGTTGAGAAAATTGAAGATGAGTTTTGACTATAGAAAGGATATTGGTGGCCACCAATATTCAGCATACTAGATTGTGAAACTTATGAAACTGTTGGTGCCAAAATTCTCACATCACCTTAATTGTTTCATAGCTATCAAAGAGATGTATCCTTTTTTTGAAGCACAGATGTTCTCTTTCTCTGTAATTTTGTAATTATTGATTGAATATGTAGTTCTATCAAGATGTAGACAGAAATTTTGAACGAATGGTTAACATACAAAATGATTCAATATTATAAACATGGTGTGAGATTGTAAGCAATCTCTCTCCTGAAGATTGCAGGGCACATAACAGATATAAGAATATATCTAGTTGTTGCCCATGCATCATCCATCTCACCAAAGAGTTAAAATTATGACTGAATTCAGTGTTAAAAACAATCAGCTATATAAATCCAAAAGGCTGGTAATACCTTGCTGTAAAGTTGACGATATAATATCTACAGGCAATGAAAATGACAAGCTCAAAAGGCAGAGTGGTTGAACAAAGTACAGCGGAAGGCCTGAGGTGTAAGCAGGATCAAGAAAATTCTGAGTTCCAGGCTTCGAAGCTGATCCCTGAAGCAGTTTAATGCATCAATATTTGATATCCTTCCATAGCAATTAGTGGAGACAGAGTACATGCCTAACCACTTACCAAGACATTGTTGGCCAAACTAAGTAAAAGGTTGGAGGTATTCACAGGGGATGTCAGAAACAGGTTGCTGGCCAAGCCTAGAAAGATCCAAAATCACATAATTAAACCAGGTTCAAAGAAACAACCAGATGTAAAAAATATATATGAAGGAGATATACCTTGCCCCAATGTTTGATTATTCCCAGTCACGAGTACAGTAACAGGACAAGTACCTGTCAGTCTACATGATATACTTGGCAAGTCTGGAAATGTAAAACCATTAGTTCTCACAGCACGACTTTGAGGATCTGGAACTTGAAGCAATGCAGGCCATTTTTGGGGGTTAGGAATAGGACAGCTGGAAGCTTGATCCAATGTCGAATATTGAATCCCACATTCGGTTTTACCATTAACTTGAGCACAACCACATTTGAATTTTTCTTTGCTTAATTCATTGTCTATCACTCGTTGCAACAGAGAAAGAAGAATACAAAGTAAAACCGGGAATATTATGAGACAACAATTCGAACGTTTATTGCGTCTCTGCAGTGTAAAGCCAGGCAACAGCAACGTTAAGAGAGTACTCCCAAGTCACAACATAATAACCATCTCAATTTCAAATAACTCGACATCTAAAGGTTAAGCATTGATAAGAGAGTAGATGTAGGAAGCAAACAGTCTGCAATATTATGCCTACAATATACTTCATACAGAGTCATGGATTATTAAAAAAATCCTGAATATTCTCAAACTCTCAGATGTCATGGATCACCTACCAATTCTAAAATGATCAAAGACTTAAAATGTCACAAAATATTCTCAATTATCATACATTTCACGTATCAGCCACCAATATATACACAATACTCCCATTTTCACTAATTCAGCCACATCTTACAACCATAAGGAATACTTAGCCCCTACCAGCCGAATTCAATTGTCACGTTACTAGTTCAAATTATAATTACACTTATCAACGTGACTATAAAACCCGAAGGAAGAACATAGCAAACTATATTAATATTAACCACACAAACCCAATAACACCACCACCATTAGGTCCATCACCATCAAGAACAATTGCAATAATGCCAATTACACTACATTCAACAAATCTCCATTTAAATTGTAATAATTACGCAAAGTGGCAAATACCCACATAATTTAACAAATACACATGAATTGAAAACACCATAAAAACCCAAATCTGAACCAAATTACTAATGTCCATGAAAAAGGGTACCTGAAAGATTAAGTTTTTCCGGAGAAGAGCATTGGCCTGGGTAGAAAAAGTGGCGCGCCCATGTGAAGGAATTGTCATGGAATTCTGTGAAACTGACAAACTCAAAGTGGGGAGGTGAGTTTGACCGTTATAATTAGAGTTGTGATTTTCTGGGTTTTTAAAATATACTTCCACTTCTCCTACGCAATTTATCTGATGCTCTTTCGGGTAATTCGCGTTGGTACTTTCATATGCTTTAGTATTTTTTTTATTTATTTATTCTTTTAATTATTATTTTTTATTTTATTTTATTTTATTTATTTATTTTTTTGGCGAAGGAGAGGGGCAAAGCCCAAAACAAGCAAACAACAAAACACTAAAGATAAAGCAGAAAACAACTAAAACCGAAACTACCCCTAGAAAACGGCAATAATTGTAGCCACGCTACTCCGCTAAGGACTTTCAATAAAACAGCTTGAAAATATTTCGGGATCATTGAGAACATGATCAGCTTTTGTTTTGATCGGATTCATAGTTGGACAAACATTATGTGGCTTAGTTAGCTTTTCTATAACATTGATCAATCAATCATGAAATATGTCTGCTGAACCTGGAAGTTGCACTCTGTTTTTAAGCTCCCTCTATGCTCTATCCATTGCTTCCTAATTCGTAATCCTAATTCCTAAATTATAATTCAACACGGTTGTACTTTATTTTAATTTCCAATCCAAAGCTTTATCTTTACATGGTACAAAGGTTTTTTTTTTTAATATTATTTGATTTTATCTATTTCGAAAAGTTACAACCACTTTCACTTTATTTTATTTTTCGAAAATCTCTTTAATACATCACTCCACTTGAGCGACGAAATTTATACCTTTCCATACTCTCTCTCTCTCTCTCTCATTTTATCCACATTTTCTTATATTTATTTACCTTTTCATGCACTTTCTCTAATTTATTTAAGAAAAAGTCATATCGTGACAGCTCGTGCCAGAAAGAATCAAGAAAAAGTCATCTGGTACATAATGGAGGCGCAATCTTTCATAAACAAAGCTCATGCATGATTTGATTCATATGTCGTGTTAACCAAATGAGTCTCTTAATAGTTTTATATTTGTAAATTAGCCAAAAATAAGTAGGGTGACATGCATATAGACCTGATCAAGCTGAGCACAACCCGATTTTGGGCAGATTTTTCCGGCCTAATTTTAAAATTTTTTTGGGCAGGCTTGGGAATGCTATTTTAGTTGTTTTTTTTTTGTCTGACCCAAAAATGGCCCGAAAATCCCGACTAATTTGGGCACATAATTTTTGGCCCGAACCCAACCCAGTTCGCCCAGTGATCACCACTACATGTGAGCTCTTTTTTAAAATTCGAAATAATGTCTATGTACAACCCATAACCCACTGATGTGTCTCTTAATTTTCATGTCATGTTTGATTGGCCCGTATCCATCTTTAAATAACATTTGCTTGTATGTGCTAGTGTAAAGTCATGTTCATAGTCTCATGAAGATATGCAAAAAGTTCAAAAGCCAAATTGTTACAATTTTACAAAACAAAATATAAAGTAATTGCATAAGATATGCAACTACTTAATAATAAGTAACTTATGTTCCATTCAACATACTTAGGAATAGTAAACGGAAGAATAATCTAATAATCCTTTTTTGTGGTTGATAAATAAAATATTATTTTGGGTATGATGATAGAAAGATTAATACGTACTCCCTTTGATCATTATTGACCATGCAACCTTGTTTTGACCATGTAACTTAAACAACTTTTGCCATTTGTCAACTTAAGTTAGGAGTACTTAACATCACAAAGTGAAAACAAATAAAATCAATAGGCTACTCTCGACACCATTGAAAAGTTTACAAGTATACTTGTAAAATTTTGATTTTTATACCTATCAACAATTCAACACACTCTGCATCAAAAAAATAAAATAAAAAAAAATAAATAAAATAATAAAATAAAAAAAATCAACACACTAAATTGTTTGTATTATTAAATAATATGCTAGAGTAAAAAGTTATACAGCATATAAATATTTATTGAGATAAACCAAACTATTAAATTAGTAACACTAGCACGAGATATATTATTTGCTAAAGAAAACAACTTAGATAATGGAATCTCTAAAAGCTACTTCATAATTGGAAACGTTAGTTGGGTAGGTAGTTATTGGTATGGTTTTTTTTTTTTTTTTTTTTTTTTTTTTTTTTGTTATTTTGTTATTTATATTTTTAAATAAATAAAATGAATAAAATTTGAGTATTGAGATTGGGGAAGGTTGTAGTGAAAAGTTATAAAATTATGGATGTGTTAAAATTCACCTGATTCACTTATTTGAACTTAATTGAATTTACTTAAAACTTATCTTTAGTTATAATTTGTATATGGGGTAATAAGGTGAACAAAACAAGCTCTAAGTCTTAAATAATATATTTTAATTTAAAGCAAAGTGAATAGAGCCTAAATGGGGTCAGAGTTGATACTTGTATATTTGTATATGACTAGCTAAAAAAATAAAAAATAAAAACTCATTAAACATTGTTCGAAGTATTTCACTAGATCAAACGGGTTATAATGCTAAATCAAAACAAAATTATTCATACTACTATCTCTGTTAATTATTATATGCAATTTTGGGGTATTATTTATGAGATATGAAAAATTTGAAAATTCCACATAATAATTAACGGATGTAGTACATATGCCATTTTTTTTTTTGGACATCTACATATCGTCCTCATAAACAAAACAAATTTGCAGTTTCTATTTTTTTTTTTTTTCTCGGTTCGGTTAGAATTGGCAGATATTTGAAAATGGGAGCGGTGAAGATAATGGATTGAAGCCAATTAAGTAGAAACCCATGTAACCATTTCAAAGATTTAATTTGAGGCTACAATTCAAAGCTTCATCAACACCCAAAGAATATTACATAAAAGAATCGGTGTTCATAAATTTTCTCTAACTTTTAAGTATATCACCATATGTCATAATATAATACTTTCATCAGATCTAAAGTAGTTGTTTAAATGATACTCCTTACTTCGTATGATGCAACTTAATACGCGAGCACGAAAGAACGCAAGGTATTGCGTAATTGCATACAATTTTGCTTGGTTGCATATCTAAGATTTCGAGTACAATCTTTGTAATTTCTAAGTCAGAAAACCATACATATTTGATTAAGATTTTAGTTTGACTTGGACCTTCATTTTTAAATCTATAATATTGATTTATAAGATAACTGGTTATGTATGAAAGAAATGGTGTCCTTCGAACAACTGTATTATTTCGATAGATGGTTCGGAATTAATTAGGAAAACTAATTATTTAGTGAAGTCAAGTGATCGGAATGCCTAGCTGGAGGCCGCTTCTGATCAGTAAGATTAATGTATAATTAATCTTACAGCTTGCTCTTGACTAAATCCTACGGATCACACCCAATCGTGTAACCAAACAAAGGCGACAAATTAATCCCAAGGATTAAATAAGTCGATGAGGATTTTACGAACTAAGAAGTCGGATTCCGAGCTTAGAGCATTGAAGTCGAGCGTCAAGCGTTGAGTCGATTTTAGAAATCGACGAAAACTAGAAAATAATTTAAACGACACGAAGGTCAAGACCTTGGTCGTAGCCCCACAACGGTCTAGCATGGTGCTATCCATGCAGGGGTAGGCCGAGAATAGCTAGCCAATGTTGCAAGCATGGCAGCTAGGCTGGCTAGTCATGCGCGCAGCATAGCAGCCAGCCTAGCACGCCATGCGGGGCATGGCTAGCAGCACAAGGCTGCATGTTTGCGCCAGCTCGCATGCTAGCAGCTAGCTAGCAGGCCGGTATGCCGCATCAGCACACCAGCCCACAAGCCAGCCGCGCGCGCTGGGCTGGGGAAGGCTGGCAGGCCCTGCCAAGGGGCCAGGTTACCAGCGTGGCGTGCCTTGGAGCCCAAGGCTGGGGGCTGGCTGCAGGTTGTAGGGGGTGGGTATGCTTGTTGAGCAAGAGAGAGGAAGTGGTCCTCTTCCCTTGTGGTCCTTACCTACTCCCTCCTTGGTTTTGTGTCAAGTGTCGTTTAATTGTTTGTTAATGCTACTTAATTTAATTTAGAATTAAATTATTGCTTATTTTCTCACTTTATCATTTTTCCCACGTGGAAAGATGATTGAGGATTTTGGGAACGCTTTGCCAATAAATACCAACCTTGGGAGTTGGGGATTAAACATTATTGAGTAAAACTCAATAAGGCATCTCCCAAAAGCGTGAGAAAACCTTTAAGTTTGCAAAACTCCAATTTTGGCTCGGTCTCGTCTAAGGTACGAGATAGGAGCCATGTTCGGGTGCGTGGGTGTGTGAAGTAGGAGGATTCGCGCGTGGGTGTCTTGAGCTTTCCGGGGGTCGTGCTCGGGTTCGTGTGAAGCACGTTATGAGAGTAAGAATGTCCTTTCCCTTCTTTCTCTCTCTCCCTCTTTATGTGTTTATCGCTTTATTAATTTATATGTTTGTTTATTTAGTTGTATTAATTATGCATGCGGTCCGGCGGGTTTTGGTTCCGCACGGCGCTCACGCATCGTAAAACCCAACAGTGGTATCACAAGCCTCTTGCATTTAATTTTTACAACTAAAAATTAATTAAGGTGATTAAAAATGGATTTTAAAATTTGGATTAGCAACCTAATTAGATTAGGATCTCGGTTTTATTAGATAAATCGTTTTATTGCTAATTTATGACTACTAACCCAGATTTCGACTCAAAAATAGTGATTTTGGGTGGAATCGATGTTCTAAATCAACCTTTACTCACAAAGTATTTAAAAAATGGCTTCCAGAGGCCAAAATCTGCCCAGAAATATGTTTTTCGAAACGAAGGGTTTTTCCATTTAGAGCAAAAAATTTTAAATCTTTAAATCTTGATTAATTATGACATGCAATTGTTGGATTATGTGATTGGTTATGACATTAATCTATTGCAATTATCTTCCTTATTAAGCATATTTTTGATATGATTTGGTTGCTTAATTTGGATAGCTCTAAAATTTACATAAACTTGGAAATTGTTCATTCTTGCAATTAGATTGCTTGAAATGTATGAGTTTATGTTAAATGTAATTTTTGAACCCTTACAATAGCCAAAGATTGAATCGTTAATGGTTTATTGGTTAAATCTTGACTTGCTAAAATCCAAAGTGAACATATTTTGAGTTTTAATCATTTTGGAAATTGATTAAAATCATGAATGTTCATATTTGTGCTTGAATATTATTTTTCATTGCAAGGTTGAAATATTCAAATATGCATGAGTATTTGTTGGATAAATTATTTTTTATTAGATGGTTGATTAATTTATTCAACTAGTTTTGTCAAAAAACATAATTATTTTAATCATTGGATGAGTTAATTTAATTATGTGGTATGCCCTTTTATTTTGTTTTGATTGCATCAAAATGACCTAAAATTATTAAAGAATGGTTCTTGGAAATAATTTTGGTTTTTGCACTAAATTTGGATTAATTAAGTTAGACTTGATATTAATTCAAAATTGCTCAAATGTTAACTCTAAAATTCAATTTGGAATTAATTAAAATTCACACAAAAATAGGGGTTAAAATTCCCAAAGCACACACAAAATCGAAGCTTGGAAGCCTCGAGCAACTCACTTGGCCAGCAAGGGCTACTCGCGCAGCCCTTATGAATGTTGGTGCCGAGGAGTACTTATGTGTGGGGAGTGTGTGCGAGTAGCAAGTGCAAGGGGCATGTGTGCGTGTGCATGTACAACACCCAGCCCGCAAACAAACGTTGCTGGGCTGCCTTGGTAGCACCGAGCAGTGCAGCAGGCATGGGCAACTATGCACCCATCACTAGACGCATGCCTAGGGCTGCTAGGCAGCACCTGCTTTGAGCTGAGCACTAGAGCGCACAAAGGGCACTGCTAGCAACAGCAGTAGCACACAAGCATGCTAGGCATGCTGTGTGAGCGATGCTTGCGGTTGCCTTGGTGCGCTACTAGGCTCGTGCAGCCAAGGCTTGCTAGGCACCCTAGTAGCCCCTAGCCTTTGGATTGGGAGCTAGGTGCTTGACTTGATTTTTTGCGATTTTGTTTGAAACGAGGCTAGGCCTTGGTTTTTCACGTACTTGCAAAATTTTTGTTAAAAATTGACTCGATTGGCTTAATTAAAAATTTATTGGATTAATTTAATTAAGTTGGATGTGGAATTTAGTGGGAGCTTCATTAATTGGTCTTGAGCTCATTAAGCTTTAATTATGCTTATCGTTATTGCGTTAGTTCACATAATTGGATAAACACTTGACTAGTTTTAATTAGGTATGTTAATCGGATTAACGACCTAAGTTAGTAACTAGTGCTCACTTTTTTGATGCAAATTATGTATTATTGCTCGTACTGTTTTGTAAAAATGCATGGTTCATTCACTTTAGAAGTGAATGGGTGAATAGAATATTATAAATGTTCTTATGCAAGTTTTTACAAAAGGCAACTAGTATGGCCCGACTAGGATAGTAAATACTGACTGCGTTCCGTTATGTATTTTTGTAAATCTAAATACGGATTGCGTGCCGTTAAGTATTTGTGTACTTAGATTATTTAGATTACTCTTGGTTCCTAGTCTTGCATGCATGGTTTGTGGTGAAGTCAAGAAGATGACGTTTCTTTGAAGACGAAGCCAAGTCCAAGGGGTCATGCTAGATTGGCATGCGTCTTTAACTTTCTTTTATATATTTCCTATATATGTTGATATTAGATGCATGTTTAGGATTTCGAATGTTTAATGTTTATTTAGTTCACTCAAAACAACCCAACATAGAAACCCTAAGTCCCTATAAAATTGAGTTGAAAGTTTCCATTCCAAAATGACACTTATCGAAACTTTGAGAGTAGGTAATGGGCTATGCCAAAGCAAGGCATTACCACTTTCCTAGGGAATTAAGGTATACTAGGTATATGTGTTAGTTTTGGTTAAACTCAACGATATCATTAAGAAGTCCTTAGATGTCGTGTTAAAGGAGATAATCGTCAAGAAAGCATTAGATGTGACGATTTATCAAACCAGGAATAGCTTAGAGCTATTAGAAATTAGATTGCTTATTACCCTAAAATAATAAGTGTTAAGACAACCCAAAGCATGCTCAATCACTTATTGATTTTTGGGATCTTGGAATCGTTTTATTCTCACTTAAAAGGGACAAACTTTAAATGTGTGGATAAAACGCTAAATAAGATTGAAAATTTGCATGTATGCTTTAAATTTCAAACTTATTGGTTTTATGAATGGTTATTCATTGCAATTCTTTTCATTTGTAGTACAATGTCTGCAACTAACACCAACAACAACCAGTTTTCTCTCTGCTCAATTCTCGACAAAAATGGACCCAACTTCCTTGATTGGCAAAGGAATTTGAGGATTGTTCTTATGCAAGAACAAAAGGAGTATGTCCTTGATGAGTAAATTCCTAAAACTCCAAATGAGGAGGTCACACAAGTTGCCCTAAACCAGTGGATTGTTGCCAACCGTGATGTCAAATGCATCATGCTAGCCACAATGTCTCCGGATCTTCAAAAGAAATTTTTTTAGAAGGAGACAACTTTTGAGATCATATTTAAACTTCAGAATATGTTTCAAGAGCAGGTTAGGACTGAAAGGTTCGAGACCCATCGGCAAATCCTTGAGAGCAAGCTCAAGAAAGGAGAGCCCGTCAGCCCTCATGTGCTCAAAATGATTGGATTATTCGAGAACATGGAGAGGCTTGATACGGGATACTCGAATGAGATGGAAATTGGCATTATTCTCCACTCGCTACATAAAGATTATGATCAGTTCAAGATGACCTATAACATGCGCAGCATGGAGAAAACCCTCACGAAGCTTCACAACATGTTGAAGCAGGCAGAGAAAACGCTCAAAGATGAGGGGAAGCATGACATGCTTATGGCCAAGAAGGGCAAGCCCGGGCAAGAAGAAGGGCTATAAGGGGTACGGTAAGAAGACCTTACCGCTTAAGCCAAAGGCTACCAAAGGCGACACGCAAAGGAAGGTAGCCTCTTCTCCGTCCGACTCCTAATGCTTCTACTGCAAGAAGAAGGGGCATTGGAAACAGGACTGCCTCAAGCTCAAGGAGGATAAAAAGAACGACACCGTTGCTTCTAGATCAGGTATATACGTTATAGACCTTAACTTTGCTAGAAATGCTTCAAAGGTATTAGATACCGGATGTGGCTCACACCTTTGTTCCAATTCTCAGGGACTAAGGAAAAGTAGAAAGCTAGCGAAGGGAGAAGTGGAACTTTAGGTAGGCAATGGAGCAAGGATTGCAGCCGTATCCGTAGGAACACCTAGTTTGTCTTTGTCCTCGAGGCTTGTTTTAGAACTATATGAATGATATCATGTTCCAAACATTACCAGAAACATTATTTCAATTCGGCATTGGACGCCAAGGATTTGAATTTCAGATAAGGGACAATAGTTGTTCGTTTTATCTTGATAATGTTTTATATGGTACAACATATTCAGAAAAATGGTCTTTATGCGCTTTCATTAGACAAACAAGTTTACAATGTTAACAATATCGCCAAAAGGGTTAAGACCAATGAGTCAAATTCAACCTACTTGTGGCATTGTCTTTTAGGCCATATAAACATCAAACGCATGAAGAAACTTCTTGATAAAGGCATTCTTGATTCATTTGACTTAAAGTTATTTGAAAACTGCGAAAGATATTTACTTGGTAAAATGATAAAGCAACCCTTCTCCAAGTTGGGAGAAAGGGCAAGTGACTTATTGGGTCTCATACACACGGATGTATGTGGACCAAAGGGCACAAATGTAAGGAATGGTTATCGTTATTTGATCATATTCATGGACGACTATAGTAGATATGGCTATGTCTACCTAATGTCGCACAAATCTGAATCCTTTGAAAAATTCAAATAATTTCAAAGTGAAGTAGAAAATCAGCAAGGAAAGAAAATCAAAGCCTTTCGATCGGATCGAGGAGGCGAGTATTTGAGCTATGAATTCGACGATCATCTGAAAGAACATGGTATTCTCTCAGAATTTTCACCTCCCGGAACTCCACGATGGAACGGAGTATCCGAGAGGAGGAACCAAACTCTGTTAGACATGGTTTGATCCATGATGGGTCTTACCGATCTTCCTATTACCTTTTGGGGACATGCACTTCAAACTGCGGCACTAACACTGAACCGCGCTCCGTCAAAAGCTGTCGAAAAGACTTCATATGAATTATGGACGAAGAAACCTCCGCGATTGTCTTTTCTTAAGATTTAGGGTTGCGAAGCATATGTCAAGAGACTTATGTCTGACAAGCTTGCACCAAAATTTGACAAATGTTTCTTTGTGGGGTATCCAAAAGAAACAAAGGGGTATAACTTCTACAACTAATCTAAGAACAAAGTATTTGTTGCTCGAGATGGTGTCTTTTTGGAAAAGGAGCACCTTTCCAAAATGACAAGTGAGAGGAAAATCAAACTCGATGAGATTCGAGAGGATGAGCAACAAAACGAACCTGACAATCAAAGGGCTTTGGAAGCAGTTGTTGATAATAGTCAGAGTCAAACCGACAATGTTAATCCTCAACCTATCACCCTGCGTAGGTCGCAAAAGCCAAGATCTCAACCAGACAGATACCTCGATGTCATCTTAACTGAGAAGCAAGACATCCTAATTATGGATGGAGATGAGCCAGCGACATACAAACAAGGTATGACGAGCCCTAAATCTACTAAATGGCTAGAAGCCATGAAATCCGAGATGGACTCCATGTTTGAGAATCAAGTCTGGGACTTGGTTGATTTGCCCGAAGGTTACACACCTATCGGTTGCAAATGGATTTTCAAGTTGAAAACCGACAATCATGGAGTTGTATATATATACAAAGCTAGATTGGTGGAAAAAGGTTACAGGCAAATTCACAGTGTTGATTATGATGAAAAATTTTCACCAGTCGCAATGCTTAAGTCCCTCCGGATTATCCTAGTAACTGCTGCATATTACGATTACAAAATATGGCAAATGGATGTCAAAACCGAAGGTATGCAAGCTTAAGAAATCCATTTATGGATTAAAGCAGGCTAGCAAGAGTTGGAATCTGCGATTTGATGAAGTTATCAGTAAGTTTGGTTTTGTCAAGAATCCATATGAGTCTTGTGTTTACAAGAAGGTCAGTGGGAGTAACATCGCATTCCTAGTCTTATATGTTGATGACATATTGCTCATTGGCAACAACATTCCAATGTTGGAGTCTGTAAAGACTTAGCTTGGAAAGTGTTTTTCAATGAAGGACTTGGGAGAGGCACTATACATTTTGGGCATCAAGATCTATCGGGATAGATCTAAGAGGATGATTGGATTGAGCCAAAGTACTTATATTGATAAGGTACTAGCACGATTCAATATGGTGGAAGCCAAGAGAGGCCACCTACCCATGTCTCATGGCATAACTCTTAGCAAGAAACAGTGTCCGAAGACACCTGATGAGCGAGAGGGAATAAATCAGATTCCATATGCTTCGCTTATTGGATCAATCATGTATGCCATGATATGAACAATGCCGGATGTATCGTACGCCTTGAGTGCTACGAGCCGATACCAATCCGACCCAAGAGAGGCGTATTGGACTGCGGCCAAGAATATCCTGAAGTACCTGAAAAGGAACAAGGATAAATTTCTGGTCTATGGTGGAACTAAGGACTGGTTATTGAAGGTTATACACTGACAGAGATGACTTCAAGTCGCAATCAGGATACATTTTCTGTCTGAATGGAGGAGCGTTCAGTTAGAAGAGTGCTAAGCAAAGCACGACTGCAAAATCTACAACTCAAGCCGAGTAGTTGGTAGCTTCAGCAGCTAAGGAGGCAGTTTGGATTCGTAAGTTCGTTGACGAACTTGGTGTTGTGCCCTCAATCAAGGGACCAATAGACCTATATTGTGACAACAATGGGGCTATTGCTCAGGCCAAGGAACCAAGGGAATATCAAAATGTCAAACATGTCATGAGGCGATTTCACATGATCAGGGAGTGGACTACTGAAGGTGAAATCAAGATTTGCAAAATTGGAACAGACGACAATGTAGCCGATCCACTTACTAAACCATTGCCTCAAGTGAAGTACAACAAGCACGTTGAGGCAATGAGAATTAGGCATGTAGGAGATTGGCTCTAATTTCCTATTTATGTGTTAATTAATTTTTGGAGATCTTAATGTAAAACACTAAGTTAACCATTCACTTATGGAGTAATTTTAATTTTTGTGATTATTATTCCATTTCTAGTTAATTGTGGTTTAGAATTAAATAATGAGTCCATTCGATTTGATGATATTCAAAATAGGGTATCAAGACAATGTCTTGGCTAAAGAAACACCTATTAAGTGCACATTGAATATCATATCGAAATCATCCCTAATCAAGGTCATTTGAAAGTTGAACGACTAATGACCGCGTGAGATTAGTGCGTATTATGATTTATAGCACCATTTCTTGTGCTACAAGGACAAGAATGTCATAAACCATTTGCACAGGTATTAGTTTGGAACTATCGGATCGACCTATGAGAATACTTTAAGAGATTTAACAATCGTCATAAGCATACTACTCATTATGTCTATCGGAACCTCTTTCCTCAACCATGAGTATTGTAAGTTCTCTTGTTTGAGTACTAGTTCGTTTTGATGTTGTCAAACGTCTGCCGTACATGGGGATTATAAAGGCAACACTCAAGGGCTAGGCCCTCTTAGTAAGGGAAGCTTAACAATACAAGACTGGGAATGTCCTCCTATTGACAATAGGAAACATGTCTTTGTTGTTTACAAGGCCTCTCGAAGAGCGAGACTGTGAAAATGCATGGTCGTGGTCAGATGGATTTTAGAAATCATTTGTACTTGAAAGTGAAACTTGGAATATTGAAAAACACTTCTGGACATAATAAGGATGACGATAAATCTTACCTTATAGTTCATGAAGAGGCATTAAGTGACATAGGAAAAAGGCAATACACATACAGCACACTTGTCCGGAAGGACAAGTGGGAGATTGAAAGGAATGGTGTCCTTCGAACAAGTGTATTATTCGATAGAGGGTTCGGAATTAATTAGGAAAGCTAATTATTCAGTGAAGTCAACTGATCGGAATTCCTAGCTAGAGGCCGCTTCCGATTAGTAAGATTAATGTATAATTAATCTTACAGCTTGCTCTTGACTGAATCCTACGAGTCACACCCAATCGTGTAACCGAACAAAGGCAAGGAATTAATCCGAAGGATTAAATAAGTCGATGAGGATTTTACGAACTAAGATGTCAGATTCCTAGCTTAGAGTGTCGAAGCCGAGTGTCAAGCGTCGAGTCGATTTTAAGAATCGACGAAGACGAGAAAATAATTTAAACGACACGAAGGTCAAAACCTTGGTCGTAGCCCCGTATCGGTCTAGCATGGTGCTATCCATGCGAGGGTAGGCCGAGGATAGCTAGCCAATGCCGCAAACATGGTAGCTAGGTCGGCTGGTCATGCGTGCAGCATGACAGCCAACCCAGCACGCCATGCAGGGCATGGCTAGCAACACAAGGTTGCGTGTGCGCGCCATCCTGCACGCTAGTAGCTAGCTAGTAGGTCGATACGCGCATCAGCTCACCAGCCCACCAACCAGCCGCGCGCACTAGGCCGGGGAAGGCTGGCAGGCCCAGCCAAGTGGCCAGGCTGCCAGCGTGGCGTGCCTTGGAGCCTAAGGCAGGGGGCTACCAGCTGGCCGAAGGTTGTAAGGGGCGGGTATGCTTGTTGAGCAAGGGAGAGGAAGTGGTCCTCCTTCCTTCTGGTCCTTACCTACTCCTTCCTTGGTTTTGTGCCAAGTGTCGTTTAATTGTTTGTTAATGCTATTTAATTTAATTCAGAATTAAATTAATTGCTTATTTTCTCACTTTATCATTTCTCCCACATGGAAAGATGATTGAGGATTTTGGGAATGCTTTGCCTATAAATACCAACCTTGGAAGTTGAGGATTTACACAATTTTGAGTAGAACTCAACAAAGCATGCATCTCTCAAAAACGTGAGAAAACCTTTAAGTTCGTAGAACTCCAATTTTGGCTCAGTCTCGTCTAAGCTACGAGATAGGAGCCGTGTTTGGGCGCGTGGGTGTGCGAAGTAGGAGGATTCGCGTGTGCGTGTCTTCAGCTTTCCGGGGGTCGTGCTTGGGTTCGTGTCAAGCACGCTACGGGGGTAAGAATGTCCTTTCCCTTCTTTCTATCTCTCCCTCTTTATGTGTTTATCGCTTTATTAATTGTATGTTTATTTATTTAGTTGTATTAATTATGCATGCGACCCGGGCGGGTTTTGATTCCGCATGGTGCTCACGCATCGTAAAACCCAACAATGTAAAAAAGCATATAATAGTAGATTAGTAACAAAGGAAAATAGTTTATATTACAACTAGATGAATAACATCATCTAGGAAAACCATTGTTTGTGACCAAAAGAAGCTGCCATGATGCCCATAAGGGGGAAAAATGCGATCATGCAGTATAGCTAAGCCGTAGAGAACTAAATTGCTAGGAACAGGAAAGCCATAAATAAAAATAAAAGCGTAGAAATTAGTAGAAATAGTGGAGCGTTGCTACTCATAGGAGAACACATTGCTGGAGAGGTCAGTCGCCGCCATGGCAATTGCATTGACCAGCTCTTTGGTGTATGTCGGGGTGAGGCCTGGAGGAGAGTAGAAGTGATACACCAGGTTGTCATCTTGCTGTAGTCTGCCCATATCAGCTAGGCCATGTGCAATTTTATTAGCACTTCTTTTGATACGAAGGATCGTAATGCTTTATGATCTTTGCATCAGTTTAGCAACATCATTTATGATGTTTGTTAGCTGGTGATCCATGTAGTGGTGAGGGTTTTGCACCATGTAGGTAAGGGCTTGAGCGTATTAGTAGTATTCAATATAGTAATAATCTCTTTTCAGTCATCACTCACCCTTGTTGCTTTCTAAACACCAAAAAAAAAAAAAAATAGTAATAATCCCAGCCGCATACTCCGGAGAATACAGAGTATCACTTTCGGAAACGTGTTCATAATGTTTTAATAAGTTAGTTCTAATAAGAATAGTTAATCAACTCCATTATGTGTGAATTGGGTATTAGGGTGGGTCCCAAGGTGGAGCCTCCATGGTATTACCACTTTTATTGCTTGAAAGATCTATACATGATTAACATGAAAGACCATTCTAATAGTGCTTATCTTTCTCCCTCCCTTGATTTTCCTGAAATATTTTCAGTATTTTTGACTTTCTTGTTTGTAATCAATAACAAACAAGCTTAATCTAGACTATGTGGGAGTCGAACCCACATCATGTGGAACTATAGGCATATAACACATTGCTCTACCAATTGAGCTAATAGCCTTTCTAGTACGGAGTACTTCTTTAAACCTAACTATCGGAAAATATACACCAATCCAGCGATACACATACATTTCACAGCACACCAACAGTAAAGCTCAAATAAAGCAAACACATATGCATCTGCTTTTAGCCAATGAGCAATTATTCCAATGTGGCTATGCCGACATCAACTTTCTCATTCCCAATAGATGGGTAGATACACACCAGAAACTCAACATAAAAATACGTTTGCCATTCATCAACCTCCAATGATCAACAATTCTTCCACCTTCAAACTGCTTAACAATTTCTGAATATAAAAAAAATGAGTTATCTGAAGTATGCAGCAAAAACAAAGAGTAGTGTTATTTTGATAAAACATAACATATATTCATAAATCAGTTTCAATGTAGTCTAAAATCCCGAGACATCAAAATATTATGTTTTCATCCTCAATCTTTTTCTGTTTCCTAGCATACTACAAAAATGCAATTTGACAAGTTATTCTTGTCAGATCACAGAACACATCTCATGATCGAGTCTTTAACTTTGGGCTAATAAGCACTGTCAATCTATAATTTCTCTTTTTTAAAAGATTGGATTTACAATGAATTGAACAAAACACAGAATAAATTAAAAGACCAAGCAGGAGAAGAATGGATTAACTATGAAATATATGCCTTACCCTTGCCATCGGAAAAGCATTACTAGTTAATAAAGACCCTAAATGAGTTATATCTAAAGAAAATACAAAAGTAGTAGTACACTCTTATAACACTGGAACACCAAAGATAAGGACCTTTTTAAAAAAAGAATTTAAAAAAAAAAAAAAAAAAAAAAAAAAAAAGAACCTTAGAGAGTGATTATGAAACAAAATCAAGAAAGCTAATAGTGCAAATAATTGTAGTTTTTTTTATTCAACATAAAACTGAAATAAGAGCTAAAATTCCTTGAATATAATCTTAAGGGTATGCAAATGACACTGTACTACATAGTAAAATAACTTTTTGTAAGAAATTAATAATAAAAAAAGTATGGCAATGCCCCAAATGGACTAGTAAGACAGTTAAGGCCAAAGAGCACTGATTATAGGAGGAAGTGAGGAACAAAGTTAAACTGAAAGCAGTATTAACTTAACACATTTCCAACTTCAGCCAACATGCAAGCAGATAAAAACTTATAGCTGAAAGCCTGAAACAGCAACAGTACATGTTGAGTATGCGATCTAAAAAAGTACAATATACCAAACAATCCATGGAGCTGTGGCCTATAACAGAAGAAAGAAAAGCGCCTAACCTGGCCAAAGATTTCCCTCGCGTGACCTATTAGCATTAAAAGGTCACCAGAAAATCTGGATTTAGTTTATGATGTGTGAACAGAATCTCCATTACTCTCTTTAGTTCTCTTATCCTGTGGTCTAACAGATGAGAAACCAAGCATGTGAAATATATGAAGTGGCAAACTAGACATGAAACTTAATTAATAGATAACTAGGTCAAATCTTAAGAATATTAGGAAAATTCAATCATTTGCACTTAAGTCATATTAGACGATACAAGTCCGTGAAAGAACTGTATATCTTTAGTTTGAACTCCTGATAAGTACCAAACACACTAGCAACATAGGGTGTCCTTTAACAGCAAGCAAGTAAAAATGCATCCAAGACTCACCTCTCTTTTCCTTTTACCAATTAACTAACTTGACGCACCACCTACATGACGACACGATCACTTATAATTGTTACTTTCGAATTTCACTGACCAATTGACCATCACCACTAATAATTTCGACCAAAATTAACCACCACCAATAACCATTTGGACCAATAATTTCAATAAAAATCAACCAAAGAAAAATAAACACTGTTGTTTTGATGATGAAAGACAAAGATAATGGGCTACAAATTTACTTACCACAAAGTGTAAATTACTTTAGTATAAATAAAAATTGAGGAAAAATATTAATGATGAAGACTTTAGAGATTATAATAGGCAGCAACAATGACAGAGGTAAGAGATAGGGGCAAATTGGGTGTGGGTCATGGGTGTCGTAGATGTTGGATCCATAAAAAATGAGGATGGCGCGAAAGATGCAAGGAGCCAAGGAATTGGTTCGAATTCCTATGGGATGATTTAAGGGATCTTGGTGTTGGTCGGGATTGGAATGGGATGATAGATACAGGTTAGATATTGACAATATTGGGTGCAAATTTCTAGTGGGCAATGGTTAATGAGAGGAATATTGCCTTTTTCACCTCCTCTCACCTTTTCCTTGGTTCGTGGTCCATTCAACTTGGTTGCATTGCAAGTAAATTGCAAAAAGACATTGTGTTAATTATTTTGAGATGAAGGGATTAGTAGACAAAATAACAGTGTAAAACTTAATATGGGATAATGATAAGAAAAGTATTACCTCTATTTCATCTTTGTCTTTCTCCTTTCATTCAACACTTATGAACAAATTTTGCCTAGGAGTCCGTCCAAACTCATTTAGTTCCAATAATACGAAATACTTCCTCCGTATTTTATTACTTACTCCATTTCTCCATGCGTGAAATTTTAGGAAAAATAGTAAAAAGTAATGAAATATGATGGAAGTGGGGTTAATTGAAGAACAAAAAAATCTAAAAAAGTAAAAGTGAGTATAAGTGGGGAGGAGAGTGAATATGAAAAATATTAAAATATGATGTAAAGGGACCACTAGTGGGGAAGAAAATAGCAATATATTGTTAAAAGTTTCAAAAAAAAAGGAAATGGAGCAAGTAATAAAATACGGCAGCAAAATGAAAGTGGAACAAGTAATAAAATACAGAGGGAGTAGAGATATTATAAAAATTGATCCAATACATAGAGAGTAATTGATAAGTCACCAAAATCAAATAAAATCTGTTTTAAGGTTGGTATGAAGATTAAATTAAGAGAGGGGTATTAAAAATGCAAATTAAAAATAATCAACAAAATCAGTTAAAAACAAAGGTCAAAATTCAATTTTCACATTAAAAATGCTAATTGTTTAGCAACTATAGTTGCATAAGACAAATTCCTAGAAGAAATAACAACTTTCAATTTCACAAATCAAATCAAACAACCTTCTACAATAATTAAAGTATACTAGACTACATATTAGTGATGCATATACGAAGTATTATATAATCCTAAACCCAGGGATAAAGAGGGCATTTTTAATACTTTGTAAGGAGTGTTTAGAATTAGTGAGAGTATTAATTTATAGAAGACGTGTTATTTGATTGTCAATTGCAATTTCACTATAAAAGTAGATATTGAAATCAAATAGTAAGATGATATTTTGCTGAAAAATAAAATTGATTACATAGAGTTTTATCATTTGAATGTGAAGGTGTAAAACCTAGCTTTTTCATAGTGGAAGAAAAGATATATAGAAAAAAGGAAAAATTGCCCGCAATAATCCCACCTTTGCTTCATCCGCCCAAAATAATCGCACCTTTTAATTATTTTTAAATAATCCGACCTTTGATGTCAACTTGCTGAAAATGGTCCCAGCCAGTCATATAACTTGTTATGACAAGTTATGTGACATGTGGCGGCCTGTGATTGGTCAAAAAAAATAAAAATTAAATTAAATAATTTTTTAAAAAAAAAAGTTAAAATTTTTTTATAAAAAAAAAATAAAAAATATTCAAAATCCACCGGACCAAACCACCCTCCCCGCCACCTGACGCCCTTATCCCGCGACTCTGGCCACCCAGAACCCACTCCCCCTGAGCCGACGCCGGCGCCGCGGCCGACCCCCTCCCCTTCCCTCGTACCACCAACCCCCTCCCTCCCTCACGAAAAAACACTAAAACCATCGCCCACCCTCGAAAACCCCTTCTCCGTCCCAATTCCGGCCCCTCTCCCCTTCCCTCGTTCCGATTCCGGCCTCCCTCCCCTTCCCCCGCCTCAAGTTCGGCCTCCCTCACCTTCCCGTGCCCCAATTTCGGCCTCCTTTTTCAGAGTAACCACCCACAATAGCGATGACATTGCGGTGGCTAGGGCTTCAAATCGGCGGTGTCTGGGGCTTCAAGTTGGCGGTGGCTGGGCTGCAATTCGGTGGTGGTGGATGGGGATTCAAATCGGTAGGGCTGGGGGAGGGGGTCGCTGGGGCTGCCGGGTTTTTTTTTTTTTTTTTTTTAAACTCAACTTTTTTTAAATTTAAAAATTTTAACAAGTTGTGTGGTGACATGTATACTTTAAAAAAAAAAAAAAAAAAAAACCCTATTTAACAGGTAACCGGTCACTTGGGACCATTTTCAAGGGATTGACATTAAAGGTCGGATTATTAAAAAATAATCAAAAGGTGGGATTATTTTGAGCGGATGAGGCAAAGGTCGGATTATTGTAGGCAATTTTTCCTAGAAAAAATAATTACCCATCTTAGAATAATTAAAGAGGTTAATTAGACATGTTTGCCAACGCAAGTTTGACCTTTAATATATATCTAATTATAGAAAAAATTAATATTAAAATATAACTCCCTCCTTCCCTAAAAGATTGTCCCATTTAGATCTTTTAAAAATGTCTTAATTTTTATTTTTCAAACATGTAAACTTTTGTAATACATATCTGAGAGATATTTTTTTATTACAATATTACATTGGAAACCGTAAATGATTTCAAATGAGACAATCTTTAAGGAATGGAGGAAGCATATTTTAATATTAATTTTACAACAATTTACATGACATTAATAATAGTTATGCAAACTAAGGAAAAGTAGAAATGAAAATCAAGCATGTGGGTACTTTTGTATTATAAATGAGAGAGAAAGAGAGTAAGAGATTTATTAAACAATATTGGGCCTCACCAAAGTGGGATTGTGAATGATAAAAAAATAACTAAATAATTGTTATAAATAGAGTAAAGCAAAAATGAGTAGTATTTAGAAAAACGGATGAAAACGGAAAATGAGTACAACTTAGAAAAAACGAAGAGAGTATATGAAAAGATATTATGTTAATTATTCTGACATAAAGGGATTAGTAGGGTCAGTATCCAATATAAAAGCGTAAAATTAAACATAACTTTAGCCCTTAATTTTTCTGTAAGGGAGAAGAACAGAAAAATAATCTTGATTATTGGGATGCATGGTCAGCGACGAAAATAAATGAGATTTTGTGTTTTTCGAATTAATTCAAGGTAGAACGAGATAAGAAATAAATGGTGAGTGGTTAAATAGATAAATAAAAAAAATAACTAATACGTGATATAAAATTATAAATTCAGGTGGATTCAATTGAAAGGTGATTGGTGATCCATCTCCTATCTACTCTTATCATCTCACATTGATCACTTTCATATTCTAATGCGACTGATAAGATTTCTTTACCCTTTGTATGTCTATTATCGTCAATATGTTAGTCTATTATATGATTATTTATGATTAGTGATTAATAATGCATTAGATTATTCTTATTAATTTATTACCACTCACCACTTATTTCTTATCAAATTCTATCTTTAATTTAATCCAAAAACACACGTAATTCTTCCAAACTTCACAATCATTCTCATTTACCATTCTCATTCACCATGCATGAAAATAACCAAGATCATCCTTCTTGTTTATTTTTTGAGGAATATTTTTGGATGTTAAATTATATTTAAATTATAATGGTGTTAGTGGTCCCATTGATTTGGATGACAACATGAAATGCATGTGATCAATCATACTTAAATTATTTTATTTAGTAGTTAAGAAAGTACAATTGTAAATTTGTAAGGACTACATTTCCTCTATTGTTACTTGCAACACTTCCTAAAAAAATGCATGATACTTGTCACAATTAAAATTAAAATTTGTTAACAAAGTTATACTTTTACCCTTATTTAAACTTTATTACCCACTCTAATGATAGATTTAAATCTCAAATCCGGTCACAATCGCAGGCACGGTCGCTGACTTTTGCAGGCATGAGGTGGAATCGGCTATTGCGGCCTAACTCTCGGTCACGATAAGCCCAAAATCCTTTACAATGTGGTTGTGATGCAGTGACGCAACTAATATGTGTGTGTGAGAGCATGTGAGCATGTGTGACTATGTTCTTGTGTCATATTTTTCAAATGAAATAAGTAAAACCCAATTTTTGAACTGCTTTGTTGCTTTGAAAAACTAGCTTTACCTTGAAAATAAATAAGATGTGACTAACTTGATAGATTAACAGCTTTAAAATTGATTAATTTTCGAATTGGATGTAACTTGGTTGTTGTGCAACGGACAGCGCCCCTGAGAGACTAAGGAGGAGAAAGAACACAAATGCAAGGAGAGGAAGGTTGGTTAATTGATAGATAAATAACCGAAAGGTTCAAGAACAAGCAATGACTTTAGGCCATTAGTCTCCAAGAGTTCTCAATACAATTTTCTGAATGCCCTTCTCCTCTTCTTAGATTACTACTTATA